AGATCCAAAGAGGTCAGTGTCTCCTATAGACAGTGGTGGATACACTCGCAACAGTAGCTCCCAGTTGTCTCCAAATCCCTGTACCCACTACAGATAAGGGCAATTGATTTATGATCACTCTCTCCTTTCACACTTTGGTTTAGTAATTTCCTCCCCTGCAGTTTGTCACATCCAAGCTCGGTGCAATTAAAAAGATAAAAACAAAAATAAAATAAAACATCCTAGTCTGAAACCATTTTATTACAATAAAAAAAGCAATGTGGCTATGAAAGTGTATATACTCAGCCCAGACTGTTTCCTCCACTTTCCAGATATTAGATGGATATTTATTTATAAATTTATATCCGATATATCCACAAATGCTGGCTGCTAAATAGTATAGAAGTTTAGCGTAGACTTTTACTTGAAATTAGACTTTAGCTTTAAATTTACTACGTAATGTCATCAATGTGAAACATAATCATACAAAAAGATTTTCTGACTAGGGAAGGGACAAAAAGAAGAAGAGATCTCCTTATCTGCTCATCTTACCGCTAGTATTAAAGATATATAACTCTTTAGCCGTGTTTTGCTGTTGATTAGGATTTATAACATTTTATCTTTAATGTCACACTTTGTTTACTCTGGTTATTGATGTTACTGTTTTCCTTATCCACAGAACCGATGCCTGTGAACTCATTGCAGACTGGTTCCAATTCTACCAATACTGTATTCCTGAACTGGACAAAACCAGATGAATATCAGAGTTCTTACACCTACAGGGTGCAGCAAACTGTAACCTCATCATCTACACTGATAAACAATACAATAGTGAGCAGTGAATCAGCTACAATAGTAAATCTGACAGCGGGAGAGACGTATACATTCCTGATATATACAAGATCTATCTGTAACTCCTCTGAATCAGACCCCCAGCCTATAACTTACTGCAACCGTAAGTACTGCTGAACAGGAAAAGTAACTCAGCCATATTAAACCATTGCCAACAAACATTCTGGATTTTGTTTATGAAAGTTTCCAAAAGAAGTTCTTGTTATTTGCACAAGCCAATTTGATTCTTCTCTCCATTCTCCCATACTTCCCTGGAAGTGTGGAAGTGAAAATCTGATTTGTTGCCACCAGTAACAAGAACAATCTTTGTTTCAGATACATTGATTAATTGCACCAGTGGCTACACACACAATTTTCTTTAAAACTAGTAATGAGCGAACTGGCCTAGGTTGGGTTCGCTTGGATATGCGTCAAATCCAGCCATAGATCCAGCTTTGCCAATTTCCATGCAAAATGAACCCAGGGCCATCTGTGTCCGAGCAACCAATGACACTCTGATACCCAAACCCATCATTGGTTGTTAGGACACTAAAAGCTGGGCCATGCAGTGTCATTGGTGGCTAGGACATTAGCAGCTGAGCCATGCAGCATCATTGGTTGCAAGTGCACCATAATAACCTATGATGTTGTGGGGCCGCCAGCATCTTAGTGATAAATGACGCTGTGCAGCTCACACAGCCCCATTGCTGGCTAGGACACCAGCAGCTGTGCCACACAGCATATTCGATTGCTGGAACTCGGAGAAGCACCATAACATATATCACTGTAGAAGTGCCAGCATGTTAGCAACAAATAACCCCGTGCATCCCACACTGTCATTTGTTGCTAAGATGCTGACAGCCTCACAGCGTTATAGGTTGTTATGTTGTGGCTGCCTGTGTCCTAGCAACCAATGACACTGTGCAGCTGAACCACCAGTCAACCAATAACGCTGGGCAGGCCGCAAAGCATCAGTGGTTGCTAGAACACTGGGGAAGGTTCAGAGAACTGGCCAAACCATTCCCGCATTCGGTGAACTGCAAACAACTTGGGTACAGGTCAAACTCATGGTTGACCTAAAGCTCATCCCTATTTAAAACTGTGTGGATATAGAAAATATTTCTCACAAGTGAACTCTTTAGGAATTTTGTTTTTTGTTTTAGTTTAAATATTAGATTTACGTAATTACAAGCACCACTGATTTATAAATCTGCTCAGGTATAACTGGGTGAACGCCATTCACATGGCATTGCTAAATGAAGCCGACGAGCATGGGAAATTCCTATGCTGCTCAGCTCTATATAGTGCCATGCCAATAGCATTCAACCAGCTATACATTGGGTGGAAGATTTATAAATCAGCCACATAATAGTTTCTTGCCAAGGTTTTTGCATATTTGTAGAAGCTCATATGGTTTTATCTGCTCATGAAAAGCTCAGTTATTTTGAATGCTACATAGAAAGAAAAGAATTCACACATACTTTACAAACTTGGTTATAAATAAAATTTCACTAATCACACCGCTCCCTAAGGGCCCGTGTCGATGGGTTTTTGTTGCCTAGATGTGGGTTTTGAATTCCCATAAGAATCTTTGCAAGGAAATGGCTGGAGTTTTATGGTACCCAAATACACCAAAATCGATAAAACACATTTTTATTTATAACATAGAATGAAATACTTGTCTGACGTATGGATGACCTTTATCTTTCATCATGTGTACAGTATTTGTATACCAATTGTTTTCTTTATTCATGTATTTTTATATCATTGTTATAGATATTCTAGCTATCCTCTTAGAGTCTGTGCCCTGCTTTTACTAGGTACAAACCATTTTGTTATAGCTCTGTGCTCAGTCTAGTCCTGTTTTAGAGTAGACTCTGTTCTTCCCTTCTCTCCCCAGGCCAAGTTACATCTATTGTTAGTACAAGCCAAGCCCTTCGGAATGGTTTATAGTTCAGCAGCTTAGAACCATGTGTACCTAATCGCTCTTAAAGGTCCAGCTCTGTCGCTCCCCCTCCCTCTGCCTCCTTTGTAGAACTCTTGCACCCGTTTAAAAAATCTGCATGCATACCATTTTTTTTTTCCTTACAAATAAACTTTCTTTTTTCCCAATAGCTCCCGGACAAGCTGTCAATCCCCGCTTTGTCAATGACAGTAACAAGTCGGTGAATTCTCTGGAGTTGAACTGGACGGCACCAGCAGGAAAAGTGTCCTATTATAACGTCACTGTAACAGGAAATGTCAACAACACAACACAGACTAACAATACACAAGTCAATCTTACTGGATTATCACCAGGGAGAGAATACAATGTAATAATACTGACAGTCAGTAATTCCTGCAGCCAGGCAACCCCTATGCTGACAGAGGCTACATGTGAGTATGGTCAAGGTCATGTGACTTGAATTTTTTGTCAAAGTAAAAAAAAAAAAAATAGCAAAAGTGCGTCATTTCACTGGTACAAAAAATATTTCAGGGACAAATATGACAAAAATATTGTATGGTGATAATGCTATTAGTTGAATAAATATAATAGGTAAATGTAAATATGTAAATATTCAGCATATCATTTTAATAACAGTATTTAGCATATGATTTTTTTTATTTCACATATCTTTTATTTAGATTTAACTTTTCTCCACATATACATAAAGATCTTGCTGAACAGCAAACTGACATTGATGAGGATTGGTACAAAGTTTTTTTTACAAGATAAAGATCTTGTTAAAAAAATATTTGAGCAATTTGAATGAAAGGTGACTATTGTAAGCACCCCCACCATAGTTTATAGTCTGTTCCAACTCCTGTCACTGTCACAGGTTTGTAACGTTAAAATAATTAAGTCTCATATTAAACACTGTTATTAAACATTAACCTCTTACATTAATTATAATACAATATAATATTTTTTTCTGATAGTGGTCCTTTAAGCAAACAGAAAAGTGTATAGGAAAGTGAGTGACATGGGTATCTTATGAGTGTGTGGTGACATTGTTATTAATGATGGATGGCTCTGGC